TATATTACATTTATCTCCGTTATCTGGTACCTGTAACACAAGTTCTTTACGAACTTATCACGGGACCAGTTAACGTGGCGAGATTGTTAGTAAATATTTAAAAAAATATTTAATATTTAAATATTTATACTGTGAGAAGATAGGTCAGGAATGTTCAATTATTGATATAATGAATAGTGCTACAATAGAACCAATAATAACAAGATGTGGGTTTTTTACTAGTGGTAGGACCTCTTGTGAGTCCGCACAGATAGGTACCACCACCCTACCTATTTCTGCCGTGAAGCAGTAGCGCGTTTCGGTTTGAATGGTGGGGCAACCGTTGTAACTATACAGAGACCTTAGAACTTATATCTCAAGGTGGGTGGCGGCATTTACGTTGTAGATGTGTATGGGCTCCAGTAACCACTTAGCACCAGATGGTCTGTGATCTCGCTCACCAAGCTAATCAATAAAAAAAGTATGTTTACCAGTCTCTGGAACCCACAACTCAGGGAATCTTAAATTGGGTTCAGATGACCGTGCGCATTTTGTTCCGAGTTATTATTATTACTATCAATACCGGTCGTAACTATCAAAAATATTCAATTATTGATATTACGAATAGTGCTACAATAGAACAAATAATAGCAAGATATATTTTTGACATTAATAAGTAACGTGGCGAATTCGTGTTCACAAACAGAATGTCGATACGTGATAATTATCTCGCGTGTATCGGCGAGATCGATTGGCTAATTCCACGTCACGCAATACGATACCGGGCAGGGCCGATTCCGACGAAATGAAATGTGTCAAGAGCTGTTTCACGGACGATTGCCGGTGACGAGCCGCGACCGAACCTCGTCTTCTCGGAAGGGAAAACTTTGCGGGCACAACGTCTACGTTTACAAATTGCTATATTACGAAAATGGCATGTAATGATCTTCGAATTTTTGCTTTCATTTTGGGATGCTTGTCTTGTTTATAAGTACCGGTTTTTTTTGACGTGATAACTTCTTATAAATCGATGAACACTGGTTGCACGCACGAAAAAGTGTCACGTTCCGCCTCAGCCTGAGCGGGCAAACGAGAGCGCGGAGCAAACGACAAAGGCACGATCGGCCCAAGCGTTGGCTTGTGACAAATTTATGTCTCTTCTCGCGTGATGTCAGAACTAGCAGTTTAAATAGTTCTACGATTGACGTTATCACGTAAAACCGTCGTCCCTAAATTCCAAACTTCGATAATAGTTAAATCAAAATAATAAATGCGAGATTCAAATTACATATTTTCAATTTTAATTAAGTCTCGCTGAACCAAAGACAAAACTGCGCATTTCCAAATAAATGTTGCTTAGCGATTAAAACATTTATACATATTTACTCAGTGTAAAATTATAACTCCTATTAACTATCAAAACCTAACTATTAGATTATTTATGTCACTTAATAAATTAAGTAAGCTAATGTCTTTATTTATATGGTTGAGTGCAAATAAATAAATAAACCATTTAAATACATTCTCTGAATGAAATACGGTAGTCGTTTCATATTAAAATTTTAAAAATAATTTTAAATTATTCTAAAGGACATTTATAAATTGATGGCGATCAATAAAACGCACCACAACTTTTAATGCACCAACGCGAACGTTTTAAACGCTATTTGTAATGATAAATATAATTTGGCACGGAAACATACCGAAAACATTAACATCTCATATTTTAGTGATGCTAATTGAGTGAATGAGCAGGCAATGACCCTAATGAGTTGGTAACAAAAATAATGTTCAACGATTTATTGATGCGCGCGAGCATGGATTTATAACGTAGCGGCGCGGCGCGCAGCTCCAACCGACGCCGCGACGTACCGTAATCCCTCTGTCTAGGGTTGTAATATTACAGAATAATCATAATAAATTAATTAAAAACGCGTTCGTGGTCTAACAATATCACTATTCGGTCACCTTACATTTGTACAAACTCTGTGTCTTTACTAGTGTAGCCTATTTCTAATGTATGAACGAATACCTAATTGATAAAAAAATAAAAATAGACAAACTTAACTGTGACAAAATAAAGGTTCCGTTCTATGTAAATGTACTATATTTAAATAAATTTTTAATAGTGCATTTATTAAACGCATTTTCAGCTTAAAGCGTCGTAGAATTAGGGATGCTGCTATTTTAACTTCCAAAAATCATATTTCTAACCACAAACACAAACAGCGTTCTAAACAGACCTTTCACATGTCCAGTTCGAACGAAATATGCTTCTAGCTCTTTTGTCCGTAGATCTCGTAGGTTATATGATTAAGTTCTCTAATGCTGACATATTTTGCTTGTCACTTGTAGCATATAGAAATGCTATTTAATTTCTATATTTCTTTTTTTTTTTCTTCCTTTTTTCACTTTCCACTTATAAGTGATTTTGACGGTGGAAACATGTTTGGTTATCGTTTTAGCTAAATTTTTTTAAATTTTATATATTTGTATTGTACTGTTGGTTTCCCAAATAAATTAATGACATTTAATTTAATTACTCGCGTTACACCCCTAAACCAGTAACAAATGTGAATGTTTTGAAGAACACACGCAGTAAGTACGTTGCAGTCGAATACACATACGAAACAAACACCTAACACTTGAGTCCAAAACTTGGTATTCATTGATATTGATTTACATCGCAGTCGAGAGCTCCGCAGCGATAAGAGTGTAAGTTTCGTTTTCATGTTACTTGAAAATTGGTGAATTATATTATTTGAAACATCATTGACGGAACGTACGTAAGAATTAACAGAATGAAATTTAATTATTTCACAGAAAATAAAAGACTAAAATGTCTTGAGAATAAAGAAAGTTCTTCTTTCTGAAAAAAAGCGTATTACGTAAATAAATAACCTCACTTCATAAGAACTAAGAAGGGAGACAGAAATAGTTACTAAAAAAACTCCTACATACACACGAAACAAGTTCGAGAAATTCACAAAATACATGTCCAAGATTATCCTAAACATTTTAAAATACCAAAGAAACCAAGCATCCGAAGTATTCAGGCTAAACCAAACAGTACAAATGCGTTCGGGACCGCAGAATCTAACGGGGGCCTTCCAAAACTATTGACAGTGAGTGTGGATGCGATCAGCCTTAAGCCGGGGATTATTAAGAGACCGAAATAGACGCATCAAATCCTCGTGGATTAAGGGATTCCATGTTCCGACGGACGGCAAGGCACGGCACAAAAATACGCACGCCGGATGCGACGATTACCCTAAACATTTACATCGTTAATATTATATTGCACTTCACGAAATAGATTAAGAACGAAAAGTATTTTTTTTTATTGCTTAGATGGGTGGACGAGCTCACAGCCCACCTGGTGTTAAGTGGTTACTGCAGCCCATAGACATCTACAAAGTAAATGCGCCACCCACCTTGAGATAAAAGTTCTAAGATCTCAGTATAGTTACAACGGCTGCCCTACCCTTCAGACCGAAACGCATTACTGCCTCACGGCAGAAATGGGCAAGGCGGTGGTACCTACCCGCGCGCACTCACAAGAGGTCCTACCACCAGTAAAAACGAATCCACACGGTATTTACAACACGAGTAACGTTTGTTCAAAAATTAAGCAATACGATTTGACTTCATGCAGAACATGACTGACTATTCGAATTGTCTATAATCCTGGACTAAATAGACCGTGGACTAAAACGATTACTAAACAGGATGTATTTATTGGTAGAGTTCTCGATGATGAAACGGGAATACGTTCCTGGGCCAAAGTAAACGGAAATCATAATTCATTTACTCAACTAAACCTAAATACTTGTCATTATCGTGAATCTGAAACACAACTCACAGGCAGCTAGCAGCCGTACCTCGCTAACCTGCCTACCGTTTCCTACCTAAGCTAACCTATCTACCTAAGGTAACCTTGAGAGGCTATGTCAGCGTAGCCAAGCGAGTAAGTGAGCTCACGGGGCTCTAACCTGGTGACGTTGCTAACATTAGCCCTAGGAAAAGCAGTTCCTCGCAGAATCTACCACCGGATCGGAAACGCGACCCACTGAGAAGATCCGCGAGAAACTCAATGGTCTATGTCTGTGGGGCCATACTTTGCGTGTCCTTAAGAACGTAGATCCTGCGCGTTCGTTAAATATAATTACATAATTTTGTAATGCAAAAAAACGATAGAAATAAAAGCGCTATTTTTAGGACTATTGATTGATTGATATGCGGCAACAAAAACGTGTTTAGGCTATATAATAAATCTATTTTGCGTCAATCAGCTTCACAATTTTAATGTTGTCCTGTACAAAACGAATGCTAAAAGGAAATATTTACTTATTATAACATGCAATGAAGTCATGAAATTGGTAATTTGTAAATAATAACCAGATTTATCGTTACATTACCATTACTAGATTTATTTTTGCGGTAAAAATACTAACGATTCAACCGTACACAAAGGTAAGGTATTTTATTGCTTAGATGGGTGGACGAGCTCACGGCCCACCTGGTGTTAACTAGCTACCAAAGCCCATAGACATCTACAACGTAAGTACCGCCACCCACCTTGAGACATGAGTTGTAAGGACACACTTAACAGTACAACGGCTGCCCCACCCTTCAAACCGAAAAGCATTACTGTTTCGCGGCAGAAACAGGGAGGGTGGTGGTATTTACCCGTGCGGACTGACAAGACGTCCTACCACCAGTAATTACGCAAATTATAATATTGCGGGTTTGATTTTTATTACACGATGTTATTCCTTCACCGTGGATGTCAATCTTGAACATATGTTAAGTACGTATTTCATTGGAAAACATTGGTACCTGCCGGCGGGATACGTACACCGTTGCATCGCTACATACGAATGCACCGGACTTCTTATCCTTTAGGCCACGACGACTTCAAATTAAATACAAAGTTATATACTTTATACGAAATTCAATGTAAAGCAGATAAAATGTCATTCAATGTACTTTTTTCTATTTGTAGGTAACAAGGCACTTACCCTAACTCTAGCCTCTGTTAAGTTAGTCCACATGGCGATCTCTTCGCGCGTGGACATATCTGGATAACGATTCCTTGCAAAAGTCGCCTCTAGTTCTTGAAGCTGTTGGCTGGTGAAGTGAGTCCGCTGCCGACGCTGCCTCTTGTTTTTCTTATCGCCTTTGTCGTCTAAATTCGGTTCTTCAGGTCCCACTCCTGGTGTCGTGGATTCCGTTTTAATCGTGGGCTCTGATGTCAGTGGGCGATTACCTGAGAAGAACACCAATTAATCTATCAGAAGACAGAGCAAGATATAGATAAGTTTGCAGCTTAAAATTCAGCACTTACTCGCAGATATGTACTTATTGTTTAAATTATATTATATGTACATGCGAAGTGGAAATCGTAGAATCATGAATGACTTTCGTGTTGATTTTGTAACTCTTATGGACTATTTTAACACATATGAAATTGTATTTTGCGTGAAATGTTTAAAAGCTTAAATTGAAAATATGTAGTTACTTTCAAAATAGAAGAACTAGGAAAGAAATCCAGATTACATGAAAACAAATTCTTTCACAGTCCAAAATATTTATCGTAAAACAAATTTTACAAAAACAAACGCTTTAGTTTAGCGATTAAGATTACGAAAATACCGCAAAACTACTCCCCGAAGGAGCCACGAGCATAAAATTTATAAATTTTACAACTTCATTAAATACTCTTAAAATATTTACTCGTAAAACGTTTGAATGGCTTTTTTTATAAATTAAATTTAAAGGCATGATAATGATATAGTGAATCAGGTCGCCAGTGCAGCACAGAAGCAAGCCCCTAATGCGAAGGATTAAGTCCGGGCCGAGCTAATACTTTTACGACTAGGTTGTAAATTTGTTATTCTCGATGTGCTACGTCACGGACAAGATAATTTATATCTTATAACATATCTATTTTTGAGTGATTCTCGCGTAACCGTGAAATCGTGGTGATAAGTCGGAGCTTAGTTTGTTATGCAATGTTCAGCTTATAGATTTATTGCGGACAAAAATTCGAAACTATTTTAAAATTGTTGGTATGTATGGATTAAATTGTAAAAAATATTGTGGTATCGTGGTTCGCAATAAATTTCGTAGTTCGATATTGAATTTTTATTCGGCTATGATTCCAAGTGTTATATATTTTTTTTCATGTTTCGTTTATATATCGCGATTTCCCTGAATTGATTTGGTAAATACAAAATTTTCCAAAAAATCTAACAAAAACTTAAATGTCGATAGAGTTGAATTCCATTGATAACAACACCATTGTATCGTACAGCGGACCAACAACATAGGGATATTAGAACAATTCGTTACTGATAACGGCTCGATAGCAATCATATTAGCTTTTCATGAAATCCCTGTGTCAATGTGCTTTAAATAAATATTCTAAAATAGTTCACTGATACAAATAAACACCTGATGCCAATCATATAGTGTTACCAGCTATTCATAATGATACCTTATTATACGCAAGGGGTAACTTATTATCCGTCATTAAAATAATAAAGTCTATTATGACTTATAGGTTCTTATTTACAATACATAATAAGCCTTTCGTAACAATAAATGATAACATGATTTTGTAGTTGTCGTGGCGTGAAAGATAAGAAAGGCGCTCTGTGTATTCGTATCAAGCGATGCAACGGTATTCGATTCCCGCAGGCAGGTACCAATTCTTTGTAATGTATTACGTACTGAACAGATATTCACGACTGACTTCCACGATGAAGGAATAACATCGTATGATTAAAATCAAACCCGCAAAATCATAGTTTGCGTAATTACTGGTGGTAGGACATCTTGTGAATCTGCAGTGGTAAGTACCACCACCTTGCCTATTTTTGCCGTGAAGCAGTAATACATTTGGGTTTGAAGGGCGGGGCAACCGCTGTACTGTGGCTGTAGAACTCACGTCTCAAGGAGAGTCGTGGCATTTACGTTGTAGAGTGGACCTAGAGTCCATGAGTAAGTAGCTACAGTCGGCATCAGTGCAACATTTCGAGAATGCGGCACGACACGAGAACCCTCTCATCGTGGCCGCCGGTAACTACATCTCCAATCCTGCGAACCGAATGGAAAGCAGTCGACGTCGCCCAAAACACGTCATTTCGGATATTCCCGATCCACTAACGGTGCTTTTAGGTACCTCAAACACCGGTCATCGTTCTCGTCTAGCCCGCCGCTTGCGACGAAGGGCTCGGCAAGTAAATAAACACAGCCCACTGAGTTTCTCGCCGGATCTTCTCAGTGGGTCGCGTTTCCGGTCCGGGGGTAGGTTCTGCGAAGCACGGCTCTTGCTAGGGTTCGTGTTAGCAACGTCGTCAGGCTTGAGCCCCGTGAGCTTACATACTAGCTCGGCGAATCTAGAATAACTCCTCGAGGTTACTAGAACAGGTAGGAATAAAAAAGTTGTAGACTTTTATGGGCTGCGATAACCGCTTAACACCAGGTGGGCTCGTCCACCTACCTAAGCATTAAAAAAATATTTACAAATCAAGATGGTGGACTGTTGTATATTCCCTGTTGTATATATTAATAATTGTGGCCCTGAACATACAATAATAAATGAATTTAATATATTATATCGTTTTACGTTCAGGGCATGACCTGACGGGGAGGACAATAAGGAGGATAAAAAATTACTTAGATCAGCATATTATAATAAACATATAATTAGAAAATGTCATCTACTGAACTATTTTATGCTTTCATTAATTAAATAGTAACATTACGGATTGTAGAAGTTTGTTGTCTTTCCGGCTTCGTTATCCGTTTCGCTACAGTCTATATAATCACTCAAATGATATAATTTTTTTTATAAATTAAATATGAAATCAAAAAAAGACGAAGGAATACTTAATATCCAGCGAATATGTTGTGACGAGAACTACCTTAAAATCCATTTAATTTGAGTTTGACTTACACGAGGGTACCGAATTCAACTTATAATTTTTTCATGTATTTTTTTATGATTGAATAATTTTTTTTTTTTTTTTTAAGATTGAAATATTACTGGTGGCCCCGAAAACTTTCCAGTTTCACCAGGATAGGTGATATGACGAGCAGAGCAAAGGCTTAGCCAGGAAGGGTGGTATTTGCTAACAACTGCTTGAACGCCTCCAAAGGTGACGTAATATAAAGAGCAGCTGCTTCGCGAAGGAATCTACTATCGGAGTCGCGACCCGCTGAGAAGATCCGGCGAGAAACTCAGCGGGCTGAAGTATGGGTTAGGTTGCACGTCGAACTCTTTGCCGAGTTGGACGAGTACGGTTGCCGGGGTCTCGTAGCCTGCTCCTAGTGTTAGAGCTGAAGGCACCTAATGCAAGAGTTATTGGATCTGATGGATCCGTAAGGACGTGTCTAGGGCGACGACGGTGACTGACTCCTGCGTGATCAGGATTCGGGGAGTAGTCAGCGGCGTAATGGCGATTATCATGACGCATAGCCTTATCGAAGTAGCGTTCCGACGCTGACTTCATCTGTTTGCGGATCGATTCGAGGCCCAGGTCGTCGTGTAGGTCGACGTTCCTCACGAACCACGGAGCCCCGACGGCTAGCCTGCAGCTTCCAGAATTTGTATTTTTCTTCAAGTAGGTACACGTTTATTGTTTTATAATTCGACAAAGATTCCAGTAATAAAAAAATATAAAATATATATATACATATATGTATTGTAATTGATGTACCTGGATATGTATTGGATTAAAGTTTTAGTTCTTATTACCGTTGTTTATCACAATGATTAATATTTTTTATCAATTTTGCTTTTGTTCCAACGAATTTCATGTCATTAAAAAATGTTTATGTGTATTTTGTTAATGTTATCGGCTTCATTCAGACGATAATATTTAATCATGTTGAAAAAATTCTCGTTTCGTAATCTTCATGATTTACTGAAACAATTAATAAAAAAAACAAAATGAATGACTGAGAATTTTACAACATTTGAGCCATTAAGCGAGAAGACTGCGAAGTTGTGACAGAAAGCAACAATGACCACTACGATTACATTTGAATCAGGCACGAAGGACCAAGTCGTGAATTTTTAACCAATATAGGTTACGTACGCTTTTTGGAGCAAAAAATTTTGGAGCGCTTTACAATATCTTTCTATTAATGCTACCAGTTTCTGAGCCAGTGTTAGAACAAAATGTAAACCGTGTGCATATTTACAATGATTGAGGGCTTTTTTCTTTTATAAAACTATGTTTAACCTTTTATGTGTATACTATCGGTTGAAAAATACGGACACTGTCATTGGGGGTACCATAGCCGTTGCTTCACAGTTATTAAATAAACGCGTCATGGTTTGCATAATATATCATGAAATTTATAATCAAGAATCAACCGTAGAATATGGTAGTTAAAATGATTAGTAGCATCGCAATTTTAACTACAATTAAATGCAAATAGGTCAATCCTAGTTCCTCAATAATTCTTACTACATGTCGCACCCATAGAATTATAGAGACTTAACTCAAAATACGTGTTTTTTGGAAAATATCGAATAAAGTTTTCAAACCGAAAAGACGTAGAGGAGGGGGACGGAGTGAAAGAGACCGATAGATAAGTTTGTCCCTTTATAAGCTACTTTTGGTCATTTGATTATTAACAGTCGCTGAAAAAGGTCGTCCTAGGTCAATTTTTGAATTAAAGTCGAATTCCAGAAATTTCGAAATAGGTCTCTATAATTCTAAAGGTACGATGTGTAAGTTAAGTTATTTAACGTAATAAACTTCATAGTATCGCAACGCAAACGTCGCAATGCAGTGCAATCAAGTGAATCAACCATCGCAATTAACGTAATTACTATTAATGATAATATGATAGTAATTAGGATTGTAAATACCTGAGACGGGTCATGCATATGCATGAACGGGTCGTGAATATGGTTTTAATACAACACAAGTTTTATGAAATGAATAATATCATAGTTTTCATTGGGAAACATTTTTTAAATTTCGTATTAGGATGAATGCGTTCACAGCCCATCAGTTGTTAAATGGTTGCAGGAGTCTGTAGACATCACAACGTAAATGCTCCATCTTTATATTATTACGATATTAAATCCATGTCTCAATTGTAGTGTATACGTTGTCTGATCCTTCAAACCGGCACGCGTTACTACTTTGTGGCGAAAGCATGCTGAGTGGTGGCGCCTACCCTAATACCTACACAGTACACAGTTTTCTAACACAAGGCGGATGTGTTTACATCCCAGCTGATTGTGAATGGTAAATTTCGCTCATGAAAATAAACAGCACTGTCAAGGATACAATAAAACTGCTGCATAATATAAAATTTAAATCGCGTTTGAATACATTTTCGTAATTTTTATTTAATTCACCGTTAGAGTTTGAAATCGGAATGATAAAATTAATACAACCTCAAAGTTGCCAGTTAAAAAAATTGTTGCATCGAATAATATATGTAAAATGAAAATGTTTTTTTTTTATTGCTTAGATGGGTGGACGAGCTCACAGCCCACCTGGTGTTAAGTGGTTACTGGAGCCCATAGACATCTACAATTAAGTTCTAAGGTCTCAAGTATAGTTCTAACGTCTGCCCCACCCTTCAAACCGAAAGGCATTACTGCTTCACGGCAGAAATAGGCGGAGTGGTGGTACCCACCCGCGCGGACTCACAAGAGGTCCTACCACCAGTAATAATATTAGACTAGTGTCGTCGTCTATACACAAGACATCGCATATAATATTCGACAAGTAAACAAGGAGCGTGACACAGAACCACATCGAAGTAACCAAAACATTTGTACAGGATTACCGGTAGGGAATTAATTTAGTGAAGTTTATTAAAACGATCAATCTGTAAGGCTTGGCAATCTCATTGGTGTGTAATGAACAAGTCGGGATTATCGCCTCGAAGTTCAGCCACTGCTGTTGGATGGTTGTTGCAGATGATTGTTGGATTTATTCGATTGATTAAAATCACAATTGATTTTATTTTAAAACCTTACGTGAATCAAGAGATCGGTTTTAGTTGTTTCACATTTAGTTTGTTTATTTAAGTTTGGCTTCGATCCGTTTAAAACTATGAGACTATTTTGTAATCGTCGTGGCCTAAAGGATAAGACGTTCGGTGCATTAGTGTTGAGCGATGCACCGATGTTCGAATCCCAGGCGGGTACCAATTTTTCTAATGAAATACGTACTCCATAAATCTCCACGATTGACTTCCACGGTGAAGGAATAACATCGTGTAATAAAAATCAAACCCGCAAAAATTATAATTTGCGTAATTACTGGTGGTAGGACCTCTTGTGAGTCCGCGCGGGTAGGTACCACCGCCCTGCCTATTTCTGCCGTGAAGCAGTAATGCGTTTCGGTCTGAAGGGTAGGGCAGCCGTTGTAACTATACTGAAATCTTAGAACTTATATCTCAAGGTGGGTGGCGCATTTACGTTGTAGATGTCTATGGGCTCCAGTAACCACTTAATACCAGGTGGGCTGGGAGCTCGTCCATCCATCTAAGCAATAAAAAATAAAATAAAAAAGACAGCGGTTTCTGTGGATCAAATATTGTATTTTTACAAGAAGTTATTTCGTGTCGTCAGTTCACCACTAATTCTGATTGTAGCAACCCTGTAGCTACGTGATACGCGTCGATAACTTTAGATAGCGTTTATCATCGATACGCTTTGAGCTATCGCCGACCCATCCATCATTCCGAACTAGCCTTTACGTTGGTAGGTAACTTTGTTTAATCTATCCTTTGCTTCGAAGCCGACAAGAGCTCGTTGGCGCGATAAATACCAGTTACATGTGTAGCGCGTATCACTACGTGCAGCCACTTCAAAACCCGACACTCGTTTTGATAAAATATTTTCCTTTAATATGTTTACATTCAAATAGTTAGTACGAATGTCCGTTTTGATTCAACATAATGCACGTTATCGTTGGGGCTAGCGTTACGAGCCGATGGTAGCTTATTGGTTAAGATTTTTACGACCGAAATCATTGATTACATAAGATTTTATGATTGCGTAAATACGTTCTTTCATTAGATTTTATAACTAGGACATCCATATTTAAATATTGTAAATTTTGTGTGACGAAACTTTTGCGTTTTTGTGTAAATATTATAAACTGATTTTCGTAGATTTAGCGTTCAAGGGGGACGTTATTATAATATAACAGGCTTAAGCTACACGTTGGGGGTATGAAGCAAAAATAATCTTTAGGAAGAAACTGTGGTATATTACCTAGAACCACTTTTTGCCGTGCCGTTTTTGCCGTGGCATAAATAATCAATAAATCGCTTTGTAATAATATGTAACGTCAGAATTGTCTCTTCTAATTACAGCATTAGCTTTAATCAGTTAAGTAAGCAAAATCGTATAATCTTCTTAAAAGGTAGTTTAGCCATGTTTATGTCTTGCGAATTTTTATTTGATTTCACAGCAAGCTCATGTCTCCATTAATTTGAACTTGAATTTGAGTTGTTCGAAAATCTTACGCGAGCGCTTGATAATGATTTGTCAGTGACAACGATGGCTGACGTACTCAGGATATCGTGTCAAAATGATGGTTTAAACTTTACGTGATAAAAAAATAGAATATCTAATGTTTCGGCCATTTCGAGTATTAGTACTTACTACGTAAGTTAATAACTTTATTATCAATCTATTATGCAATTTTGTGAAAATAACCTTAACGTTAAAAGTGTTTAGCGTTTTTTTTTATAAAGTGTATTTAAAAGTACTTTGCTCTTCACTGAAAATAGTATTTGATATTTTAAGTTATAAAAGTTAAATTAGGAAAACTATTTTTAATTCTAGTAGGACTTTACAAGCGTTTTACAATCGTTATGATTTTATTACCCAAATCAAAATGCAGTTATCGACTGTAAAGAATCGCTTAGAAAATTCAATGTCGATATTTATAAAAAAAATATTTGAAAAACAATATTGTCATTTTAATTTACTTAACAAAAAAAAGGAATTACTTTTTAATGAAGCAGCCCAAAGCCTTTTAAAATTCAATACTCATATACTTCTTCTTACATTTCACTGCACATTTTCATTTTTATCCATTTTCAAAGATTCATTCTTCCGTTTAATATTGAATACAAGTGGATATTTAACAAGTTGTATGTAGTAGGGCCTGCGCTGTGGACCGGTTGCATCCGACGATCGTTGCCGCACGAATATTTGTGAAAGCATTAGAATAACACGCGCTAGTATTTGTCATAGATTCCCTGACGATTACTCGGTTTACTTTCAGTTTTAAGCTTGTCACTTTGTGTGGTCTGGTGCGATGAAATTGATTTTACTTTCAACGTTTTGAATTGTGTTTTTTTTTTTTGTGTAAATATTTGAACAATCGTTTTCGAAATACGTTTTGGCGTATTACAGAGAATTCGGTGTGTATTTAATTTTAATAAATTGTAAAGTTTTGATATCTGATCCTTATCGATTACTCAGGCTATTAAGGTAGCCTTGTAGCGGGTAAATATAATAGAACGGAAAATATTTGCCTGAATCTCGCTAACGACAATTACAAGATACGTTTGCCTATATGCAAGTTCCGAACAATAACATTCGGATCGCATTCGCGTAGCAGCTGCTCCTGAAGGTCTCATTCGGAGACGCTCGGGTAGCCGTTAGCAAACCCCACCCCTCCTGGCTAAGCCCATTTTCCCTCACCTGTCATGGTGAAACTAGAAAGGCCACAGAGCCACCAGGAATATTGCCTATTTCTGTCGTAAAGCAGTAATGCGTTTCGGTTTGAAGGGTGGGGTAGCCGTTGTAACTATACTGAGATCTTAGAACTTATATCTCAAGGTGGGTGGCGCATTTACGTTGTAGATGTCTATGGGCTCCAGTAACCACTTAAGATCAGGTGGGCTGTGAACTCGTCCACCCATATAAGCAATAAAAAAAAGGAACCTTTCCTTCCTAAAAAAAACCTTCGGACCGTTTGCCTACGGAGAAACTTTACCTACTCAGTGGACAACCTTCCCTTTGTCGTCATCTCTAAAACCTTCGAGTTATAGGTATATATTATATCGTCTTCTCGCATTAAAACTGTATTATCTCAAAACTTACAAATTTTACAGGAAAGTGTTTTAAAGATTTAAACATGTGATATTTTTAATATCAATCATCTTGGCAACATTTATTTTTTATTTTTTACCAGTTACATTATCTGTGTTTTAAAGTAAGATAAAATTATGGATTAATTTTGTTAATAGTAGTCAAAACATAAGTAAACTAAAATTAAACTACGCTCTTTTGACAGTATTTATGAGAAAAATACTGGTGATTACAAATGATTCCGCATATTAACTAAATTTCGAATATTTTTGGAAACTGTACACTTTTAATGTGAAAAAGCGATATATCTTTCGTGTATACAAAGGTACTCACTGTCGTCTGTCATTTTTCTATCGCGTCGGGGTCTTGCCGGTGCATACAACGAGGATTGTTCCACGCCAGAGCCACCTGATGTGAGAGAAGAGTGACCGCTGTCTCGAAATTCGCCCGTCTCTGCCCATACTGGTAACAAAAGGAAAGTAAAAATTAGTAAGAATAAACCTCAAAATACTAAACTGACAAACGGTATTTGTTTTAATTAACGAATTTATTACATAAATAATTGCTCACAATTTCATATATACAACATACAGTATTCTATACTTCTATACTAATATTATAAGGAGGAAAGATTTGTTTGTTTGTATTGAATAGGCTCCGAAGCTACAGAACCGATTTCAAAAATTCTTTTGAAACTGTTTGGAAGCTACATTTTTCCCGAGTGACACAGGCTATAATTTTTCTTGAAAAAAATTAGAGATCTTACTAAAACTCCAATAATGTAACGCAAGGTGTAAAAAAATTACCTAAAGTATTCTTTACACCGCATGCCCTGCGAAAACTATAGATGATAGAATAAAATAATGTACTACGACTTTGTAGAACACATTATTATTTACAAAAAGTGTCGTGACAGCATATATGTCTAACTATTATAGTTATGCCGCAATAAGAGTTCTTTTATTTTCAAAAATAAAACAACGCCGTTGAAATTTTTGTTAAAGATCCAAGCGGAGCCGGAGCGGGCCGCTAGTTGATTAATATTTTAACTGCAGCGATCGCCTTTCACAGAGAAACATCGAAGGCAACCCGTTCCCATTACTTAAGTAAACTCCTCTAATTAGAGTATTCACGGGGATCTCTTGACAAAGTAATGTATTCGTTAAATGACGATGACGCCCCGTCGTTCGACGAGTAATTAAGTGTCCCCGAACACTTGTTAACAAATTAGTCACTGCTCGTGTGTACGTTGCCTTATTTATAGCTAACGTCACATGACTGTTAAGCTCAGCGACTTGTAATTTTTTTTTTTAATTCTGGCAATCTATTCGATTCTTTACTACTTAAGCTGTCAGAATTATATTTTCTAACAGCTTTTAAGTAACAGTGATTTTTCATTTGAACTTTAAGTAAACAGCAAAAACCGAAATGAAACTGAATTGTTTATATATAAATACCTATACTCTATTCAAATTACGAAGTCCCATGAAACAGATGTTATTGTTATGTTATTGTGTGTATGAATTAATTGTATAATGATTTAGATAGATTGTGTATTTTTTAAATTATGTTTACGACCATGAACAAAAAAATATTATTATTTCAAACTAGCGACCCGCCCTCGCTTCGCTTCGGAAACATTAAATTTTATTATTGATAGCTGAGTCCCGCGATGTTACCCGCGGTTATTGTCGTACCGAGGGAGAGGCCACGGGGCTAAGTTAGTCTAAAAAATGTAGCCTAAGTTACTCCTTATATTATCAGCTACCTATCAGTGAAAGTGCCGTCAAAATCGGTCCAGCCGTTCCAGAGATTAGCCGGAACAAACAGACAGACAGACAGACAGACAAAAATTTAAAAAAAAATTATTTTGGTGTATGTACTGTATATATATTCATATGCATGTAGTAAAAAGAGGCTATTTCAATTTTACAAACAGACACTCCAATTTTATTTATATGTATAGATTATGGGAAACGTGAAGAGTTAGTTACATTCTAAGAAGTGTCAAAAGGGACTTCGTCATTGGAATAGAGTATAGTTTGTATATGTATTAGTTAAGGCTTGATGAGAGAACTTTAATGCTACCTACAATAAAAACATCATGGAGCTAAAAGGAAAAGTTAGCCTGCGTTGTGGAGCTCAGGAATTGGTCTAATTCTCATATTAGTTTTTTACAGAGTAGCATTCAGTGATGGGCACCATAAAGCAATAGCCGATATGTCGAAAACAGACCAAAAACGCATTGTAGCATAAAAAAAATAAACATCATAAAATTAATTGTTCAATCAAAGTCAAAATGTGAGCATCGTCGAATATATAAAAATCGGTTGTCTGTAAAGTCGATTTACTGACGAGAGTTGAACGTGACAACGTCATAAGAAAATACTGATGGAATGGTTTCATTTATCAAAAGAAAATTTTAATTTTATTTGTTTGATAGATATTTTGTATGGACAATTGACACCACATTTACTTTTCACTGAACTTCATACTTGACGAAAACATGTAAATGTATTATTGTATAGCAGCTGTCCACGCGGATGCATGCTCACTCAAGTAGGAGAGAGACAGATATCGAACGCTGCCGAACGCGGAGCCCGATTGTGTCTCTTTGTCGCTCGGTGCGCGCTCTCGCTTGCACTTCAAGCCTTAAATGGAACGCCTCAATGAGTCATGTTTTTTCGTGCGTGCAGCCGGCTCCATCGAATTATAAGACGTTGTCACGTCAAAAAATTGTAATTAAATTTGTACGAAACGCTTTCAGTTGTTAAGTCGAAATGATTTTTATATTCGGTGTTTACTCAAAGTGTTCTTCATTGGTACGGGAGTTGATCCCGATGTTTTGGCGAAAGTCACGAACTGTTACAATTGATGTCACTCGGTAATTACAATCGAACGTCAAATAATACGAATACAGTTTAAACGCGATTTTCATTTCGATCTTTACACACACAATTTGATAAATAGGAAATTTGTTATGATTTTTTCTTCTTTATGATGTGGCGAGGTCAAGTCAACTAAATTATTTCAAATAGAAACTCAATTTATTTTCGCTCGTAAATTGTTAATTATGTTTGCAATTATTTTTAAAAAGCAAAACTGACATTATTTAATTTTTTTTTAAGTGTATTAAACGACCAATGGATGTTCTTACACCGAGCGGATGGTTTAGCTCGGTAAATCCACAGTTTGCAATGTTGCGAGCTTATTGTACAAGCTTATCTTGTAAATATCGTTAGTACGATTTAGCTTTGGTAGTTTTATTTTTTATACACTGCTTATGGCTTCTCGAAGTCTGTCGTGAGTTGAGATTAAGGTGAAGGTTGAATGGTGCGTCAGCACAATGAGCTGTCTATTTATTACAGAGCTGCTGCGCTCTAGATATTAGCGGTAGGCAGCGGCTTGGCTCTGCCTCACCATCAGGTGGGCCGTATTGTAGTCTGCCTATAAGGGCAATAAAAAAAAAAAAAGATCTCGGGTGCTGATGATCCGGTCATACTGCTGTAAGTTATAGCTCCGTGACGAACGAGTGAAGGTGCGTGCCGTAAGAGCAGGCAGCGTGGTGGTGAATCGATGGCAAAACCATCCATCCAAATGCACAAACTTTTATATTTGTAATATTTTCGTATTAGCTCAAACATCATAAATGTCATACAATAAATATATTAAGTTTTATCAAAATATCGATCTGTGTTTAGATTTCGAAGTTTCTCGAAAGCGTTCACAAATAAATAGTCTTAAATAAAAACATTACGGTGATTGACCTTTGAATTTATTGTAAATAAAAAAAAAGTAAAAATTAAAAACTTTCTTTTACTTGAAAACTAATAAAACTATGAGAAATTCGTACAGAAAGCGATCCATGCGTCTCGTTTTTATTTTTTTATTGCTTAGATAGATGGATGAGCTCAAGCTATAGATATCTACAACGTCAATGCCGCCAACCACCTTGAGACATGAGTTGTAAGATCGCACTTTTAACAGTACAGCGGCTGCCTAGCCCTTCAAACCAAAACGCATTACTGCTTCACGCCAGAAATAAGCAGGGTGGTGGTACTTACAAGACGCCTTACCACCAATAATTACGCAAACTATAATTTTGCGTTATAATTTTTGCGATTTGATGACAATCGTGAACATTTGTTAAGGACGTATTTCATTGGAATAATTGGTACCTGCCGGCGGAATTCGAACACCGATACATCGCTACATAAGATTGCACTGGACGACTTATCCTTTAGGCCACGATGACTTGTTTTCGTATACACTTTGTTATTATGGACGTATATAACACGCACATGACAAAAACAAACAAAGCTTGTTTTGTTACATCAAATAAGATTGCATTTTTATTATTTAAATGCAGATAGCTTAATTAGTTCGGAAATGACGGAATGATTACAAAATAGTACAAAGAAAAATAACGTCATAATAAACAAATCTGATTTTTTTTTTCATTTTACCCATGCTGATAGCCTTGAGAGGCTATTTCAGTTTCGCTCTAACATGTAGGTGAGGGAACTCAAACCGCAGTGTTGCTAACACTGGCCCTAGCAAGAGCAGTGCTTCGCAGAATCTACCACCGGATCGGAAACGCGACCCACTGAGAAGATCCGAAAACTCAGTGGGCTGTGACTATGGGTTAATTCGCTCGTCGAGCCCTTCGTCGCAAGCGGTAGGTTCGACGAGGACGGTGACTGGATGCTTGATGTTAAATTTTCGTATTAATAAAAGTATAATAATAAAATACTAGTTACAATAACATGCAAATAAACAAAAATTTATGAAGGATTCTAAAATCTCAATTACTTCAACTATATATGTACATATCTAAATAATTTCAACTGTTTTGAAAATATGGAAAATTCGTGTATATAAAAAAACATGAGAATTCTTTTTTTTTTTTCCGAAATCGATGTTTATTTTTGTCTAACATATAGTACAAATATTACCATAGCCGTATTCCCTGACCGATGCAACCTAGCTTGAGCATAAAATGAGTTCTTGCTTGAAGGTACTTGAATAGCGTTAATTAAAACAATTTATTGTGACATTATCGTCATAACGAGAACAAACGTCGGGCCGAACAAACGTACGACACACGAACTCGTACAAATAAAAGGTTAATATTTGCCGTTTTGATAACGTCTGATAAGCGAACGTGTTTATTGTTTTATTGGGGGCTTTAAACCGTCTCTTCACACTCGGTGATGAACTGCGGGCACAGTCGCGTTTAAATAATAAAAAAGGAATAGGTTTTCATTCCTCCTATGGTAGGCAGCGGCTTGGCTCTGGCCCCTGGCATTGCTGACGTCCATGAGCGACGGTGACCACTTACCGTCAGGTGGGCCGTATGCTCGTATGCCTAAAAAGGCAATAAAAAAAAATTTCTCACGGACCAGAAAGTGTTAAGCTGCTACGGCTATGGCATGAGGTCTATGTTCTTGGTGAAACTAGAAAGGCCTCCGGGCCACTAATAATCTTCACTAAATAGTATAAAACAAAGTCGCTTTCTCTGTCCCTATATCAATCAGTCTGTCCCTACGTATGCTCAAATCTTTAAAATTACCCAACGGATTTTGATGTGGTTTTTTTTAATAGATAGAGTGGTTGAAGAGAAACGTTTATATGTATAATAACATCCATTAAATAGTGGAGAAATCAATAATAAATCACAGTTTCTGAAGCGAAGCGAGGGCGGGTCGCTAGTTCAATCATAAAAAAGGTCAATGTTTCAAATGCATTAGATTAGGTGTCTCGTCTTCCCTTAAAATCTGAAGTCGCTATGTTCTCGCGCCAAGTACGAAACTCTGTTTCCCGAAATGCTTAAAATTGCATTTTACTAATGGTGGTAGGACCTCTTGTGAGTCCGCGCGGGTAGGTACCACCACCCCGCCTGTTTCTGCCGTGAAGCAGTAATGCGTTTCGGTTTGAAGGATGCGTTAGCCGTTGTAACTATACTTGAGACCTTAGAACTTATATCTCAAGATGGGTAGCGCATTTACGTTGTAGATGTCTATGGGCTCCAGTAACCACTTAACACCAGATGGGCTGTGAGCTCGTCCACCCATCTAAGTAATAAAAAAAATTGAATTTCAAACGAAGCTTAAACGACCTCTTAGCTTTACGTAGTAGCTCGGCTTGTGGTCCTGCAATTACTCGTATTTATTAGCGATGGGGCTCACTCGCCGTCAAGTGAGCCGTAAGCTCGGTTTATCTTGTTGGCAATAAAAACAGAATCTCTTCTCATCATCATAATCAAAGTATTGAATTTATTAATCATTATGTGTCTACATTATGTAATATAGTCACACGTCGTTTGTTTGCACATTTCGTAGAACATACACTGATCGCATGACTAACTGATAACAGTAAGGGCAAAATAAATTCTAAACCTAAAAAATCTAAAATTTTATGTATAAAATAGTCACACATTGTGATGTTAACACATTCCAAACAACATATCCTAATCGATTGACTAACTGATAATATTAAGTACAATTCTAAACGTAAAAATCTAAAATTTAGACGGAATTTTCGTGATATATTAGGTAGCTATCACAGAAAATAAGATGCCTGAATCTGGCTAACGAAATTCTCAAGATGAATTTGGTTAATTATAATCGAATCGTCGGTTTATAGAGCAATTGCATCCGTTCAGTAGAAGATCTTCCCTTTATCTCTAACTCTTAAAGTATCATGATAAATGTAGATAAGTAAATATTATAACACCAATAATAACAGTCTTCTGAATTGCTTAACTGAAGGATTGAAATACGTAATGGCTTTTAATAAAGATTATTTAAATCTTGATTATATTACTTTTTTCTGAACAAATTAGTAGGTACCACTTTGTAAATAATGTACATATAAACCTCTTTAAAAAACTTAAAAACTACCATTCATTTTGAAAAATAGTCATTTAACACCTAACGAGAGTGATAAGGTAATTTGTTAAAGTTACAAGTTGTTAACTTAACGAATATCAAGTCCATTTTTTGTCATTTTAAGCTGTTAAGTTTCCAAAACATACACCTAAGCCGCCATGTTATTTTCAATGAAACAAGCTCTGTGACTTTACTCAACGCATATATTTGTCTCAAATGACTCCATGGGTACCTAGTGTAAGTAATTATGAAAATTACGGAATTTGTGGCCAACATCCACTTTAAAACGTACCTATAGTTACTTCTTTTTTTTCAATACCTATTCTATTGACCTCGAGGGGTCATACTAGATTCACCGAAAGAGTAGGTGAGCTCACGGGGCTCTAACCTGGTGACGTTGCTAACACTAGCCCTAGCAAGACTAATGCTTGGCAGAATCTACCACCGGATCCGAAATACGACCCACTGAGAAGATCCGGCGACAAAATCAGTGACCTGTGTCTGAGGGTACTATAATTATAGGTATAAAATCAACTAAACTAAAACGCAAGACAAAACTGAGCTAAAACGCACAAGCTTAAATTAATGTGACGCAAGACTTTACATGCATGTACATAGATACTCACACCGTCAATGCCATAAGTGTTACACTTGCATTCAAAACGATTGCTCTTTAACTTTATTTAAAGGCGGCTACACGATTTTCTTCGCGTCTGTACGCATGTTCCGTTACAAATAATGATTGCATAGTCATAAAAATTATATGCCAATAAACGACACACACGTTTTACAACATCAATATTTGTGCACTTATTTCGAACAAGCTTTATTGCTCATATATTACGCGGCGCTAAAATAATGAAAACAATATCCGCTCGTCTATTATTAATAAGACATAAATGAAGGAGTTTAAATTTATTTTTGTTATGT